AGAGAGAGAGAGAGAGAGAGAGAGAGAGAATGAAAGGGAGTGTTTGTATGTGTGAGTGAGTGTGTGTGTGTGTGTGTGTGTGTGTGTGTGTGTGTGTGTCCAGTGAGATTAAACAGGATTTGTGTAGGGGTGGGATGGGGGATGGGTAAAGAAATGGTACTGGTCCTTCCCTGAAATTAAAAGAAACGTGCCTTAAGTCCCCATCTGTGACATTCAAGACTTGGATTTCCTTTAAAAAAATATTTTGTCATAGCTCTCCCTCCTCATCCCTCTTGAGACACGTCGCCACCTTAGAACTACAAAGTTCTATGAGCTCAGTACCTAGTTTTGAGAAATTTGATGTACACAACTTTGAGATTCATAACATGTCAAGCTTTTCAAAAATCCAATTCTTTGGGTTTCTTGATTAAGACTCAGGGTAAGTTTGCTTTTTTGATAGAGCAGATAGAACATTTTGTTTCTACCCTCATGGTCGTAACTACCCAAAACGGACAAAAAGTGTCAGATAGAATTTTGAAATTCTTAGGCACCAACGTACCCGAGACGTCATTACTGCGTCAAAAAGGGCGTGAATCGTCAAGAGGACTCCCACAAACATACCTGCTGAACAATCTTCCATCCGTCCTGCGGCTGGTTGAAGTTCCTGGTGGCGAGCACGTAGATAACGGGGCCAACTTCCGACCGGTAATCGGCTTCCGTTGGACTGGTGACGTCATCCGTGTCGCCGGACACCAGGTTCGGAGCCTGCCACTCTATCATCAGCTCGCGTGGATTGGACGAATCCGAGTTGACATCCTCGGGGAAACGCCACTCGCCCGTCAGTGCTGGGGCTGCGTGGGTGGAGGAAGGGAAGATGGGGTGGGGGGGTTGTTTTTTTTAGCTTGAGTAAGAAATTTATGACACTTGCAACACAATGTCACATAAGTGCCGAAGATTAGAGGTTTTACAAGAGAATAACAAACACCAAACAAAAGGAAGAGAGATCAGGACGATATATGTTTGATAGGAAAGAAGGAGCAAACCACACCAGAGCACCCGTCAAACCACCCAAGGGTTGTTTATTTGTTTGTTTTAGTGAAGAGAAGCACATTGACACAATAATGGTTATTTGGTGCTAGGGAAAAGTAAAACATACAGCAGACAGAAACAACTGATGGGAAGTAAAGAAGTTGGACCTTCCAGTGGCGCCCTCCAACCGAGGGAGATGAAAATATAGATGGCTTTATGACGTCGTACGGGGATGTCCATAGTTGGCATTTTTTCATAATCGGCAAGAACTATTACGATAATAATAACGACAACAGCAACAATATCAACAACAGCAGTAGCAATAACAGCAACAACAACAACAGCAATAACAACAGTAACAACAAGAATAACAGCAACAACAGCATCAGCATCTACAGCAGAATCAATAGCAACACATATGGAAGAAACATCTCGAGTTATACATGCAATCCTTATGAGAAAGTAGTAACATCTGAGGGGATTTTTACCTTTTGGTTTCTTTGTGAGGAATGAACAAGCAGTCTGGCAGCCATCGCCCTGTGGAGGGAGGAAAAGAAACATTGTTAATGAATAGAGAAGAAGGAACATCCAGAGATTTGGGTTGTGTTTGTTTGAGTAAAGAGAAGCAAATCGACACTATAATGATCATTTGGTGCTGGGAAATGGTAAGACAGAGAGAGAGAGAACGTAAAGATGTAGGACCTACCAGTGGAGCCATCCAATCACCCGCAAAGTTGAATTGGACATAAAATAACATTTCAGTTCTAAAGGGTGAGCAATGTGAGTGCAATTAAGGGTATGTGTGTGTCTGTGAGAGAGGTTCTTACACAAGTGTATACCTGTGCATGTGCAGGTTAGATTATGGAAGGAGAAAGAAATAGGAAAATATAAGAGTACTATCTCTTTAAGAACAAAAAGAGCACAACTTGGGTTGAAAAGAACGTACAAATAGTAACCCATTACTGAAAGGTCGAACGAGACCCCCGTCCCAATGTTTTCCTCCAGACCTATATTTTCTCTTTCTGACTGTGATTTTCAAATCGTTCAGTGCCTTTACTTTGATTGCCATACCATTGATACTGTTTGGATTCATTGTCAATGGACCTTTGATCCTTCTTTTATCCAAACTTTCAACGTTCTCACCCATAATAATAATATGTCCTTTTGAGCGTTCAACTGGGAGGTCCTACCTCTACATCTTACAAAGTTGAAAGTGGCGTTTAGCCTCGTCAGCGTACAGTATTAGTCTTTAAAACCGAGGACTAAAACGCTAAACACCCATATTAAAATCCAAAACGCCCTGTTAGTTTCCAGAAGGACGCGAAACTACTGCTTAAAAGAAAATAAAAACAAAAGCAGAATTTTGTTGAGTTGAAGTGAGTGGCGAATTGCCATCATAAACACTACGTTGTGCTTGGCCCGCATTTCTAACAAACGCCGACAACAGGTTGACGGAGCAGACCACACCAGAGCATCACACACGGCAATATGGGGAAAGCGCGTCATCACCAAGGGAGAATTTCTATTTTCGCGCCAAAAGAGCGTCAGTTATGCGCACCTGGGAGTCCTGCCCCCCGTGAACCCAAGCGCGACCCGTGACGCGGTGCCACTCACGAATTCGAAATCATCGCTCGCGATTTCGCAACGTATTTTTTCGTTCGCCCTCTCGGTTGTGAGTTTGAGGTCGAGAGTACTACTACACGTGAAGAGGAGAGGAGGTACGTGGGACTTTTTTGTGTGTTTTTGGCGGAGAAGACGAAACGGCGTGGGAGTACAGCTGCATATAATATTCAAATTTTCAGGAATAGAAATGTAACAACTAAAATATTTAAAAAAATGATAATAGCAACACCTTCACCTAACTCCCGAAAAAGATGAACAAAACAAAACAACCCCCCAAAAACAACAACAACCAACAACAACCAACAACAACCTAACAAGTGAAAAAGAGGAGTTTG